TCAAAACACCTCCAATCACTTTCAAATTCAACTATGTTGGAGAGCATGCTAAGGCCTAATTTAATATGCGAACACATATTAATTTCAAGCTAGTTAAGGCCATGTGCATTAATCTTTCACCTAAGATAAATATTAAATAAAATCTTTAATACTTATTCAAATGTTCCAATTTTAATACACGACAATGAGCATATCGAGGGGCAATATAAAATCATGGTACATGTTTAAACTAAGTCATGAGCAACCGAGAAAATTAAATCCTGTACAAGAAAAATAAATAATAAAATCTCTAAATTTTATATTTAATCATGCAAACAAGTAGTATAAGCATCACAAGCATGCTATATAACAAGAATTTAAACCTAGAATATCTCCTACCTCAATTTGAGATGAAAATCCCAAAGGCCCACCAAAATGGAACGGCTCCGAATCCGATGAAACTACTAGGTTTTGTCGGGGACAACGCCGTGAACATAACCCCCATGAAAGCCCTATCAAAATCATAACTTGACCTCAAAACCAAACTCAAGAAATGGTCAAAAATGAATTCTAATAAGGGGGAAAGGTAGAGCACGGCGAGGGGAACAACAAACGTTAAGGCCAAAGACTTTCCATCAAGGAAAAGTGAACTAAAAGAGGAGAGGGAAGATGGCAGCACCCCTTGGGCTGCCATGGGAGCTCTAGGTCGTGCATGAAGAGGGGAGAAGATGAAAAATGAAATATCTCACCCCCCTTTTATAGAAATCTCAAAAAGTGCCCCGAACGAACCCCGTCGGGTCCGAAAAAGTAAAATTTGAGCAAACGTGCTCAAATGGCAAAACTTTGTGAATGAAAAAGATTCAAAATGATAAAATATGAACAACAAAAGAAACGGCGTCTAAAACTGAGTCCCGACCAGAAAGTTATACCCAAAACAAGTTTAGCGCAAACTGGGGCCAGAAACCCTGAAACTGGAAAACATCAACCAGGAGGAAATTCCAAGAGTACACAACTCGACGAAATGTGAAAATGAATCCCGTATGAGGATCCAGTCTCAAACAAGACATTTTGCAATAACTTTTATTAATTGCACAATGGCCCCTCCAAAAAGTGAAAACTGCATTTATGGCTCAGAATAAAAATATCTTCCAAAAATATTTTCTTAAAAACCCCTGAAATAAAATATCTTCAAAATATATTTACAAAAAACACCCCAAGAAAAGAAAATAATTTCAAAGAACTTTGCATCCATGCCCCTATGGACACGGGGAGCAACCCGAGTACTTTCTTGCAAAAGTAAAGAGACGTATTTCGTGGGAACCACTCAAGATGAAGATACATGAAGTCAAAAACCAACTCCGAACACAAGAAGTGTGGTTATGCCAACAAAGTGTCAGACGGGGAAAAGACAAAATAGGGAAAATGACGAAAAGTGAATAGTGTCGAAAAACGAAAAATGTAAAAATGACTCGGTCCTCAAAGGAAGTTGTCAATCCACGGAAAAGAGTCTCAAGAACCAATTCCGAGCACTCGAGATGACACTAAGTGACACGAAACAGAATTCAGAAAAGAAAATTAAATGAAAAAATTTCATTCATAAAATTTCAGGAAAAAGGAAAGGAAGGCAAATGATTGGGTCGTTATAGTACCACTTACTATTAATCAAAATTTATCTAATAATTCTGAACCACCTAGTGTGCAACCAAATCCCATACTTTCTTCTGCAGGTACAATGCCAATTGTTCGGCCTAGTCGCAATCGGCGACCATTACCTTACTTGGATGATTATCATTGTTCCACTGCCATTCATGAACATGTGCCCTCTCCATCTGATTCCAAGTTGGCAGGTACACCCTACCTACTCCATCAATATATCTCTAGTTCTAACTTTTCAGTTGCACACAGAGGGTTTCTTTCTACAATTTGTTCCACAAATGAGCCTAAAACCTTCTCCAAGGCTATGAAGTCACCACAATGGAGGGTTGCCACGGAAAAGAAAATAAATAAAAAATAATAATTATTTTTATTTGTTACCTTAATTACCTAATTTATTCCACCAACTACTTACCTAAGTGAAGATGTCCTCATTCACCGACCTACAAAATCAGTCCATGGTTTACATAGTTTGAATTTTTATTTTTATTTTGTATATCCTTTCTTTACTTTATAATATATGTTACGATCTTTGGGCCGTGACTTAAGGCCATAACCTAATCAGAGGTCATGTTATGAATTTGACCTAAGTTCATATTTATATTATTTTCTTTTCTTATTTTATATTTTTATTTTATTAATTTATTTTACTGTTTATTACCTCTTACTCATTTTTTATATACCATTCTTGGGGTCATGGCTTAGACCATGGGTCTGGCTAATGGATCTAGAATGATAATGTCCAAAAATTTTAAAGTTGACCAAAATGCCCTTCTTTGAATTGAAGCTTGTTCCATTTGATTGTTTTGCATCCCTTTGAAAATGCTAAGTGCCTTTTTTTTGGTCAGTTATTGTAACACTCTCTGGATATTTCAATAAAGAAGTGTATATTTGTGATTTGGCAACTTGCAAATAAGATCAGCCAAATGCAACCACTTAAACCACATAGAATCAAGCTGCCCTCTCAGCTTCATAAATCCACCACACAAGAGAAGGAGTATTATCACCCCTCAGAAGAAATCTACAAAGTTTCAGGAAAAGCTTCAAATTTAAAATAGAAGTAAATGGTTATAACGGTCCAGATGCTTTGTGATCCGACTCAAAAGCTTAAGCTATTAGGTAGGGCTAACACCCAATCCATATATATCCATTTCACTTCCCATCCGGATCTGATGTGGGACAAGACTCCCCTTGTAACAATGCAGCTTGGAACTCATCATGCACACTCCGGTGCAAAAATGACATAATACTCAATACTGATGAATGACTCTTTCTAGTGGGCAATTCAGATGCCGGAGGAGATACTGAAAACATATGGTAGTAGTAATTAAATTCTCTAGATTTCAAATCATTTCCAAATGGCCTCAAATTAATATATGTTAAAGAACATAGCATGGTCATCAACAATATGAAGTCAAAAATCCAATTAAGTGGCTAAAACACTGAAAATAAAATTAATTAAACTAATTAATTAATTTTATCTAGATTTCTAAAACAACTCCAATAAAGAAATAAATAAATAATAAGCTGAAGGGAACTAAATAATAAATCCTTATTTTAAAAAAAATCCTTAAATAAATAATAATTAAAAATAGCATAATAAAATCCTCCAATTATCAGATACTAATAATTAATTAAACTACAACTCGGGAATCCATACTGTGGACCCCTAATAATATCCTAATTGAAATAATTGAAAAGAGGGTTAAGGAGGATGTTTCATATCCGGTCTTTGATATTTTAGACTAGTGAGTTGACACAACGTCTTGCTAGAGACGTTAAACACTGACATTCGTAGTTATTTTATTTTATTTTTATTATTATTTTATCACTTAATATTTATTAACTTTTTTTCAACTCGAAAGTTTTGACGCATCCTGGACACAATGGCAAGGTCCATTTTATTTACTTTAGTACTAAATTTATTTATTTCTCAAGTTTTACTCAAACTTGAATTGGCTAGGGTGCAAAATTACGATTTAGCCCCTTACTTTGATGGAATATTAGAAATCGCTTTACAAAGTGGACTTTAGGTGTATCCTATGGTTTTGAGACGTTCCGGTTCCGATGGTGATATCCATTTTATGATCCGGTGGTTGGATTTTCTGATTTTCTTAGCTCGGCCAAACTAGTTTTATCGAAATACCCCTACAAATCGGTAGGGGCAAAATGGGATGTCTACACAAAAGTTATAAATCTCAAATTCCGAAGGAAATAATATATATTTCCAATTTGATAACGGGTACTATTAAGTGAATCTAATGACTATAGAGATTTGATTCAAAGAAGGAATTGCAAAGTAAAAATGTAAGCAAAGACTGCCATCTGGGTTTTGATTCAAAGAAGGAAATAAAAAAGTAAAAATAGAAAATTTTCATGGAACGTTGAGAGGAATTAGAGTTTTGAATAATAAAAAAATTAAAAAGCAATATGCTTTTGATGGAACTAGAAGGAAAGGAGGGACGAATTAGGGTTCGGATTAAAGAAGTTAAAAAAGAAATAATGAAAAAAAACAAAAAGGGAAGGAGAGAAATAAGAAAACGAAAAGGAAAGAAGGGACAGATGAAATAAAGTTAACTTCAATGTTCCATTACTTGCCTTTTTATTGTGCCAAGACAAACAAGGCCTTAAGAAGCTCACTGCAGGGGATTGCATGGAAATCCGCTTCAGAAGATTCGTGCCCTATTCATGACGTCATATTAACTTGATTGGACTATGACTTGGAATCAAACTCGTTTTTACTTTTTCTTTATTTTTTTCGAAAAAAATCGAATTTATATATTTTCTGTTGTAGACCCAGGTTCAAGACCCAGCGCAACGGAAATATTCTCCAATTACTTCTTCTTCTTCTTCTTCTTCTACTTCTTCTTCTTACAACGGATATATTTTTAAACTCTACCTTTCTTACGCTCTAATTAAGGGTTTCAATTTCGGAAACCTCATCTTCATCACGGGCACGGTTGAAACTCGCCTTTCCTATCCTCCAATTAGGGTTTCAATTTCGAAAGATCTGAGGTAATTTCTTCTTCTTCTTCACTCACCCACATACGTATTCACACGAAGAACATGAAAATGATAACTGCTTTTTTTTTTCTTTCTTTCTTTTAGACATTTGAATGCTGTTTAATTTCTCTTGAATTGTTGCTTTATACTCAAACCCTAGAACCATGCGTTAAGTGCACATGATGTACTCTTATACAGATTTCTGTACCAAAAATATGAAACCTGTGAAGAAGCAAACCTGACCAGCCAGTGTCATTCGTTTTTACTTTTTCTTGACTCTTTTTTAAAAAAAAAATCAAATTTATATGTTTAAGAAAATACTTTTACATTGTTCTTAAACATATACTTTTACATTGTTAATCAATAAAAAACATATACTTTTACATTTAATTAACATCGTCTGTTTTAGACTTGTAGTCTAGTTGGTCAGGCTACCGGCTCTCACCCGAGAGACCCGGGTTCAAGACCCGGGGCAACGGAAATATTCTCCCGTTAGGGTTTCAACTTCGAAAGTTCTTCTTCACTCAACGGAAAAAATTTCAAGTCCCGGCAACGGAAATATTTTTGAACTCTGCCTTTCTTACGCTCTAATTAAGGGTTTCAATTTTAAAAGTTCTTCTTCTTCACTCAACGGAAAAAATTTGAAGTCCCGGCAACGGAAATATTTTTGAACTCTGCCTTTCTTACGCTCTAATTAAGGGTTTCAATTTCGGAAACCTCATCTTCATCACGCGCACAGTTGAAACTCGTCTTTCCTATCCTGCAATTAGGGTCGACTCTGCCTTTCTTACGCTCTAATTAAGTGTTTCAATTTCGGAAACCTCATCTTCATCACTCGCACGGTTGAAACTCGTCTTTCCAATCCTCCAATTAGGGTCAACTCTGCCTTTCTTACGCTCTAATTAAGGGTTTCAATTTCGGAAACCTCATCTTCATCACGCGCACAGTTGAAACTCGTCTTTCCTATCCTGCAATTAGGGTCGACTCTGCCTTTCTTACGCTCTAATTAAGTGTTTCAATTTCGGAAACCTCATCTTCATCACGGGCACGGTTGAAATTCGCCTTTCCTATCCTCCAATTAGGATTTCAATTTCGAAAGATCTGAGGTAATTTCTTCTTCTTCTTCTTCTTCTTCTTCTTCACTCACCCACATACGTATTCACACGAAGAACATGAAAATGATAACTGTTTTTTTTTTTAGACATTTGAATGCTGTTTAATTTCTCCTAAATTGTTGCTTTATACTCAAATCCTAGAACCATGTGTTAAGTGCACATGATGTACTCATAAACAGATTTCTGTACCAAAAATATGAAACCTGTGAAGAAGCAAAATGTGAACTTTCTTGTAAATTTCAACTCTTGTATACTAAAGATTGCTTTAATTGTTGTTCCTTAGTAATTAAACCGTAAAAGCATGTCTACGTGGCTCATAAATACATATGTGTCTATGTTTCCCCAATTTTTCAAAATATTCACATTCTAATTATTCTAGAGTTTGATTTGTATCTAAAGACAGTGATTAATCAGTTTTAGTGTGAGATTGCGCAAGTTGTGTACACAATAATCTATACTGATTTTCTGAATCTGTATGCTGTTAGCAGTTTTAAAGACTTTAATGCTAATAAGAAATTGGGACTTGATCGCTGGGCAAAATTTGGTTCTCTAGATACATCTAGTTGTTTTATTTGTGAAATTAAGGTGGCGGATTGGGAAGGTAATTGATGATTGGAACTAAGGTGAGAGACTGGCTCTAGGTGCGAAAATCATAGCTTCGTAAATTGACTAAAGCTGAACTGCTTTGAATGTCACTCGTATTGGCTATTCCTCTGGGTTTTCTAGATCCTGCACTAAGGTGATGGTACCTGGTTGAGAAGAGTTGATATGGTGAAAGCATAATTTGAACAGCTTCTTTTGGGGTTCTTGGATCGAAGTTTTATGCTTTATTTCTGAATGCATGACTAAGCCTTTAGGAACTCTTGACTGATAGACATGGTCCAATTTTGGCCTCTACTAATCCCAACATCTAGATATATTGTAAGGTTACATTTCTATTATTTTTTTAGAAAATTGAATACATTTGATTCATTATCTTCACCCTGTCATTCCTTTTCCGTTCTCCCCTGTCCCGGTCATTCCTTTTCCGTTCTCCTCTGTGGTCAAAAACACTTTGGTGGCTTACACAGTTACATGTCAGCTCAACAAAGTTATATCCTGAAAATATGTGGGATGCTTGGGCCAAATTATAATTTAGATAAGGGAACTTGGCTGGGCCTATATCTTGGTCATTTGGCATGACAACCTTTTTGATGCACTTATGATGTTCTGTGCTCATGCCCTGAAAGCTTGTGTGTGCTTGTTGTGCATAGGTGCAAGTAGAACTGCTCTTATGGCGAAGTACATGACACCATAACTTGTTTTTCTTTCTTCTTTTCTAAAACATTTGTTAAGTTTTTTAATTAGAAATACAACATAGTGTTTTAATATATCATTTCTGCTTTAACTCAAACTTCTTTCCTTGTTTCACTTCATCTCAGTGGCCACTTTGAAAGCTCATCGTATGATTTGTGTTAGAACTGATGTTTGCTCTTGTATGTCATAGGCAAGGACTCTTTGCCTACATTTCACTTCTGGAGCCATGGCTTTGGGGGATGAGATGATGGAAGGTTCTGTTTCTTCTCAGAAACTTGATTTCATGGAGGGCGATCAGAGTTGTGATTTGCTTTCCTCGGAAGATTTTGCCTGGCTTGATTCCTGCCTGATCAATGATCCTGAAATATCATACAGCACTGATGAGAATTCTTTCAAAGATGCCTTACTGGAAATTCAAATTTCTCAACATGATTCACTTGACAATTTCCTATCTAGAAGAGATTGTTTTCCCGGTGAAACTGACACTCAGATTCTTCCTTCTAGTGAAGAGGCAACCACTTCACAGAGCCTGAGGGCAAGGATTGATGATATTTTTCTCACTAATGAAGCAGCAGAAATGGAAATTGAAAATGATGGTCGTATAATCCTCAAGAAGACTGATTTCTTAAGGTCGAGATCCAACTTGGTAAATTATTTTCTGCCAAATTACAATGGCGACGTCAAAGGAACTGAAAACACTGAACCTGGGTTGGATTTGGGTTTTACGGGCGTTTTGATGGAGCAATCAATCGGCGATATTTTCAGGTTTTGGGATTTGGACATTCCAGCTGAGAAGGATGGACTTACCCGGTCTTTAACTTCAGGGCCTCGTGGGATTAGTCGAGGTGCGCGCAAGCTGGCCCGGACACCCACGATTATCAAAAAGAAAAGAAGAAGAAAAAAAGATAGACTTACCAAGCAGCTGAACAAGGCCCTTGCAGAAAGTTCCTTACAACCATTTGATGGTCTCATTTTTGGTATTGCAGGCCTGTCGTTAAATCAAAATTGTTGTTAGAATAATTCTGTAAAATGATTAGAATTTCGGAGTGTATATCAAACTACCTAGTGCTCTTTTATTCATGTTATATTAACACATTTATTGGCTCATCTGGGTATGAAATTGAACGAGAGGCTTAAAAACTTCAGAGTTCTCTCTCTTATTTATTTATTTTTGTATCTATAGCAATTCAGTCACTAGAATACTGGCACTTGTCTAAATATTTTCTTTCTTTCTTACTTACTTACTTACTGATGTTTAAGTTTATTTTAGAAATTTAATTAACTTGGGCTTTAGTGACAGTCAAAATTGTCCCTAAAAGCTCCTAAACCGTCCCTAAAGGTCAAATTGGTCTGAGTTAATTTGCATCATCTTAAATATTTTCTTTCTTTCTTACTTACTGATGTTTAACTAAAAGAGAGACTCAAAATAAAATTAAAAAGAACTTTCCATTTATTATTGAGTAATGTTATTCAAGTTGAATAATATTACAAATAAAGTATTTAGAGACTGAAATTCGAGGGGTGATTGGGGCTCATTACATGACGTATGGTGACATCATATGATAGAACACACTATTACACTACATAAATAAAATTCCATAACTACCAAGTTCAGTTCTTAAATCATTATTCTTACAAATCATATTAATTTGTCAACTTACTTTTCTCATTTATATCCTCAGTCGTAATGCGTGATTTTTCAACGCAATCAAATATGTTTTCAAACACATTAAATTTAGGTTACAGTAGGTAGATTTAATGGATTTAATTGTACTGAAAACTTTTTTCAACCAATTAAATATGTTTTTCAACCTATTAAACAGATTTAATGTATTGAAAACAGATTTTAACTACATTGAGCACACCTACTGCATGGTACAGTCCATACTAAAGACTATCCCTACATTTAGAACTCAATTGTTTGTTTTTAATTTTATTTTTTATGTATGTATATAAATATAAATAGATAAGGGTTAAATGGACTTGTAATTAATAAATAATGAAAAATACCATTATACCTAACACTACTGGTACAAAATGAATTAAAACCAGTTATAGAAATTTAATTTTTGGTTTTTAAGATGATGCAAATTTCCAAGGATCCTTTAAATTGTTCTTTGGGTGGGTAATCTTTTAGTGTTTTTTTTGCCCCCCCAAAATATTTAAGACTAAACTCAATGAAAAAAATTTATTTTAAAACTGAAGGTACAGTGGACCTAACGGATGGAAATATAACATTAATAATTGAAAATACTGGTTAAATTCCTCTGTCCCCATATTAATAGTCCAATATCTCGTTTTTAGCTGTTTCATAATAATTGTCACATTTTAAAATTCAACACAATATTTTTTATTACATTCCCAATTTACCCCTAAAAGATTAAACTAATTAAAATCTCAAAATGGGTGGACCCCATTAAGAATAACTTTTCCTGGACCTTATGTTATGTTTGGTAGGTAGGAAAGAAGGGGTGTGGAGAGAAAATAGGAAAAAAGGAACAAACTTTCTTTGTTCGGTAGAGATAATACAAAGAAAGAAAGGAAAATAGTCCTCCTTTACAAATTTTCATTTATCCAAATTTGGGCAGAAGAAAGGAGGTAAGACAAGTGGACTATTAAATTAAATAATATCCTAAATTACAAGTTTTATCCTCTATAAATTACAATATTATAAATATTATTAGATATAATGGTAAAAACAATTAAAACTTTTTTTCTTTTTCTTCCCTCTTAACAAATATGGTAAATTACCAGTTTATTCGCTTCTACCAAATTTTTTTCTTTCCTACCTAACGAAGTATTAAGCAATCTTAACGTATTTATCTCTTGGAAGTCATTCAATTTAAGACCCATTCAAAACAAAACTTTTAAAAGGGAAGGGCAAATTTGGAAATGTATTTATTGCCAATCTAATAAAATATAATAAAACTTGTTGTCTTAAAAAGTGTGAATTGTGGAAAATAAAATAAAGAAAATAATAGTGTTGATATATTATATAATTAGAAAAGAGAACAAAATTGATAATATTAAAATCTCTATTGGGTCAAATTCTATTGAATCTTTGAGTTATTTGAGTTTCGGAAATATAGTTATAGGAAACAAATAGATTGAATTTTTTTTATTTTATTTTATTTTATTTGAGTTTGGGAAATATAATGAGAGATTATGTATGGAAAAAATGTTTTTGTTATGCAAAACTGAAATCCCCCACACTTTTTTTTCACACGTTTAAGGAATAATAGCAAAGGCTCCATTCACACGTTAAAGGTCGGTTTTTTAAGTAATTGACGGGTGCATGCGAGAAGGAATGATAAATTATTTATGGGATTCTAGCAACTTCCCTTTCACAAAACTAGCAACTTCCCTTTCACAAAACTAGTAACTTAATTAAGGGTTAAAATCACAAAATCCCCCTATACTTCTAAAGTAATGCATAAAATCCCTAGTTAAATTAAATAGGTTTCTGAACTTACAAAACTTATCAAATTACCCCAAACCCGTAACCGACCCTTTAAATGGGTTGTGAAACATCAAATTTGACCTTGCTATTTAATATTAAATTAAAATTTGAAAATTATTATTTTTGAAATTACAAAAATGTCCCCTTAACCCTTAAAGTGGGCGATCTTCTTCCTCTTTGCCTCCCACTCTCTACCTTTCTCTCTCTAAAACAAGACCCATCAAAGAAACAGAACAAGCATTATTTTTTCCCTTAAACAGAGTAAGTATTGAGATTTAACAAAAAATGGCAACAACAATCGGCATTCTACAACTAAACCACCAACAAACCACACCCCAGATCATTTTATCACTGCCCTTGACCCCAACTCTCTGATCCTCTCACAATCTTCCAACTGACTGGCTATTCGAGACTATCGTGATGGAGGCTACCTTCACAGTGGTTGGACTAATTCTCCAACTTCGCAGAATCGGAGTCCATCAAGGACTCACTCATTGACGACTCGCCAATCTTCCGCAATAGCAACTTATTCTCCCTCCCTATTTTCTCCCATTGATTACATTCGTTGCCACGATCGACAACCCCACACCTCTTCTCCCCCGAATTCGTCGATCTACTCCCTCCAGATTTTGCTCTAATCCCATATGGTTTTGTGTTCTTCAAGTTTAACAAAGGTGTCTATATCGATTGTAAGACACTCGTCGACTCTTTGTAGTACATCCAAGAAATCTGGCACCAATTGAGCAAGAACAGATGACATCTCCCAATGGGGTTGCCGAAATTTTTTTCTTAAAATCTAACCTATTTCTAGGTATGGAGATATTTCCCTTCGTCGACAATGCACTCTTTGGCCAGGAATTAGATCCTTATTCATTTGGTCAAACTACATAATTTTGCTGTTTCCTTATCCCAATCAACCTAGGTCGACCATTTCTTGCCACCGCCAATGCCACAATAAATTTTCGGTCGAGCATTATAGATATCTCATTTGGCAACATGATAGTCAAGCTTAATGTCTTCAATGCAAGCCAACATCCCATAAATGAAGGTGAATGTTTCCTAGTCGATGTTTTGGATGATCTTATGCAAGAATCTCTCCCCTCTATTCTCTCAAAGGACCCGTAGAAGCATATCTTGCTCACTTCAACATGGATGATTTTGACATTGATAGCTCAATTTGTGAAGTGAATGCTATGATGGATACCGTTGCTTTTATGGACTATCCTCCATGGAAAACTCCAAGGGAACCACTCCCTACACTCTCAAGTACTCCTCCGCTACCATCTTTAGTCTCTCCACTTATTCTAGAGCTTAAGCTACTCCTATTAAATCTCAAGTACGCCTTTCTTGGCCTAAATGAAACTCTTCCAGTCATCATTACTTCTAATCATGAAAATGACCAAGAAGGGAATCTTTTGGAGGTACTTAAGAAGAATAACGAAGCCATTGGATGGAGTGCTACGGACTTGAAGGGCATAGATCCTTCCATTTATAGGCATCGCATTCATATGGAGGAGGATGAAAAAACCCTTTAGGGATGCTTAAAGAAAGTTAAATCCAAACATGAAAGATGTGGTAAAGAAGGAAGTAATGAAACTGTTGGATGGTAGGATTACCTATCCTATCTCCGATAGTAAATAGGTGAGTCCTACTCAAGTAGTTCCTAAAAAGTCAGGAATTACCATTGTTGAGAGCTCCAACGGGGAATTAATTTCAAAACACACCACCACCTCATAGCGTGTGTGCATTGATTATAGAAAGCTCAACTTTGCTACTAGGAAAGACTATTTTCCATTTCCCTTCATTAACCAAATCTTAAAGCGATTAGCCGGGCAAAGCTATTATTGTTTCCTAAATGGCTATTCCGGATACAATCAAGTAGCCCTTGACCCTCTTGATCAAGAAAAAACTACCTTCACGTATCCATTCGGTACATTTGCATATCGACGGATGCCTTTTGAATTGTGTAATGCTCCCACCACTTCCAAAGGTGTATCATGTCTATATTTTTGGACATGGTAAAGAAATTTCTTGTGATCTTAATGGATGACTTTTCAGTCTTTAGGTTTACCTTTAACTCTTGCCCTCATCACTTATCTCTAGTTCTACAAAGATGTCGAAAAACAAATCTTGTTCTTAGTTGGGAGAAGAGCTATTTTATGGTTCAAGAAGGGATTGTGCTAGGTCATGTTATATCCAAAAGGGGTATAAAGGTGGACAAGGTAAAAGTGGAACTCATTTTTGAACTTCCTTCACATTCTACAATGAGAAAGATTCATTCCTTTCTAGGACATGTCGGCTTCTATCGTTGATTTATCAAAGATTTTAACAAAATTGCTAGACCCTTGTGCAATTTATTTGCTAAGAATAACACCATTCATCTTTGATAAGGCATGCCTATATGCATTCCAAAAGCTCCGTGCTACCTAGTTTATGATTTTGGATGGGGGTGAATAGAGTCTTGACAGAACGATACCAATTTTTTTTTTTTTTCCTAAATGGAGGAAATTTTATAGATATAAACAATACAAATACAAGAAACACATTGGCACACCCCAAAACAAACATAGCCTAAGCAGTCCCGAATCATTCCAAATAATTATATAAAATAGATATGCATCTTAAACATAGATTAAAACAAGCTATTGTGTAATTTAATTCAAGATTAATCAAGAACACCAAATAGCTCATAAAATCAGTTTTA